AACTTTGAGCCTTTCTTAGAATTCTGACTACCACAAGTTTTAATGACAATGTTTTGGCCTATACTTTCACTCATAACTGCCTCCAGAGAACAGAATCCCTGAAAGATTAGAATTTCATATATGTTTGCCCATGTCCCCTGAACACTATTTGAAATGACTCAGGTAGCTTAGAAAAATGGCTAAGTGGAGAGAAATTCAGAAAGTCTAGCTGTTAGAAAACCAATGGCAAGCCAAAATGCTTTTTCGTTTTCTTTTTTGTTTTTATAGCACTGTTTTAGTTTCTGCCATGCAACAACACAAATCAGCCATAATTATATTGATACATATATGTCCTCCATCTTGAACCTCCCTTCCCTCTCCCCATCCCACCCCTCTAGGTTGTCACAGAGCACAACCTACTTTCTCATTCGTCACACTCTCTGCCTCCCCAACTGTGTCCACAAGTCCATTCTCTACATCTGTGTCTCCATTCCTTCCCTGTAAATAAGTTCATCAGTGCTATCTTTCTAGATTCCACATATATGTATTAATATATGATATTTGTTTTTCTTTCTGACTTACTTCACTCTGTATAACAGGCTCTAGGTTCATCCACTGAATTCATCTCCTATTCTGTTCACCACCATTGGGTTTTTACAGCAATCAGTAGGAGGGAATGTCCCATTGAAACAAAATGAAGTGGAGTGAAAGTTGCTCAGTCATGTCCGACTCTTTGCGACCCCTTGGTCTATACAGTCCATGGAATTCTCCAGGGCAGAATATTGGAGTCAGTAGCTGTTCCCTTCTCCAGGAGATCTTCCCAACCCAGGGATTGAACCCAGGTTTTCACCTTGCAGGCATTATGCTAAATTTGTTTCCTATTCTATGCACTTCAGTTCAGTTCAGTCACTCAGTCGTGTCCGACTCTTTGTGACCGCATGAACTACAGCATGCCAAGCCTCTCTGTCCATCACCAACTCCCAAAGCCTACCCAAACTCATGTCCATTGAGTCAGCGATGCCATCCAACCATCTCATCCTCTGTTGTCCCCTTCTCCTCCTGCCCTTAATCTTTCCCAGCATCAGGGTCTTTTCCAATGAGCCAGCCCTTGGCATCAGGTGGCCAAAGTATTGGAGTTTCAGCTTCAACGTCAGTCCTTACGCTGAACACCCAGGACTGATCTCCTTTAAGATGGACCGGTTGGATCTCTTTGCAGTCCAAGGGACTCTCAAGAGTCTTCTCCAACACCACAGTTCAAAAGCATCAATTCTTCGGCACTCAGCTTTCTTTATAGTCCAACTCTCACATCCATACATGACCACTGGAAAAACCATAGCCTTGAGTAGACAGACCTTTGTTGACAAAATAATGTCTCTGCTTTTTAATATGCTGTCTAGGTTGGTCATAACTTTCCTTCCAAGAAGTAAGCATCTTTTAATTTCTTTGCTGCAATCACCATCTGCAGTGATTTTGGAGCCCAGAAAAATAAGGTCAGCCACTGTTTCCTCATTTATTTGCCATGAAGTGATGGGACCAGATGCCATGATCTTAGTTTTCTGAATGTTGAGCTTTAAGCCAACTTTTTCACTCACCTCTTTCACTTTCATCAAGAGGTTCTTCAGTTCTTCTTCACTTTCTGCCATAAGGGTGGTGTCATCTGCATATCTGAGGTTATTGGTATTTCTCCCGGCAATCTTGATTCCAGCTTATGCTTCCTCCAGCCCGGCATTTCTCATGAAGTGCTCTGTATGTAAGTTAAATAAGCAGGGTGACAATATACAGCCTTGATGTACTCCTTTTCCTATTTGGAACCAGTCTGTTGTTCCATGTCCAGCTCTAGCTGTTGCTTCCTGACCTGCATACAGGTTTCTCAAGAGGCAGGTCAGGTGGTCTGGTATTCCCATGTCTTGAAGAATTTTCCACAGTTTGTTGTGATCCACACAGTCAAAGGCTTTGGCATAGTCAATAAGGCAGAAATAGATGTTTTTCTGGAACTCTCTTGCTTTTTCGATGATCCAGCAGATGTTGGCAATTTGATCTCTGGTTCCTCTGCCTTTTCTAAAACCAGCTAGACTTCTTTATTTTTACATATCAAAAGGAACTTTGAAGTAATATTTTGTTTGTTCCAGAGAAATATGTAGCATTACTTTATAATCTTTTTTTAAAAATCTGATACTTCTAAAAAATATATTGAAATGAAAGTTTTGACTCATTAAGAGAAAGCCAATCAGTCCTTCATCTGTGCAGTAATTGTATAACAGTTGTATAGCTATTTGGTAAAAGAAATTTTAACAAGGAGTTTATTTTTAACATAACATACAGAAACCAAATTTGATTTCAGAAAGAAAAGCTAGGATTAGTGTTGTCTAGCTTTAAACAGAAATCAGTTGACTCGCATTTTGAAACTTCATTTGGTCAATTAAGTATACAAAGCAAATTAACCAAAACATACATTATGCATATGGAGAAAATATTAAAATATATAATAAGGAAAAGTGCTCAATATGAGTCTTTAAAAATTGAAAACACAAAGCAATTTTGAGATTCATGACAGTCTTGGGGTTCATATTACTTGGCTGTGATAAATTTAGATTATACAGAGTTTGGCTTGTTCTTGTACACAGTATTTCTTCTCAGTTTAACCCTTTTAAGGAGGATTTGAATTTTGATCATTTTGAATCCATTTACCACCTTCATCATCTTGTTGTGTATTATCTAAATATAATTTCCCTCCCCCTTTAAAAAGTGGAACTGGTGGGTTTAAAGCATCTCAGGATTTCTGCCCTATTTAGAATGGCATGGGTCGGAAAACATGAACTTTTCAAAGAAATGACAGCTTTTCCTTGAGTCTAACCATTTGCTTTTTTTAATAAGATTAGTTTGGATACTGCATTTCATCAATTCCATCATCTGAAAAAAATTCTGCCATCTTAAAAGTTTTGACATTTTCATTTTCTATTCTATTTCTGCTCTATGACACATAGTTCAGGCATTTGGCTGAGTGTAAATCAGTGGACTGGTTGGAAGCCTAAAAATTTGTTTGCACAGAAGAAGTTTGAATGAATTGGGAGATTTGTTTACATTTGGAGCTTTGGATTTCTCTCCTTTTATTTTTAAATTTGAAATCTCTTCTCATGACCATACCTTAGGTTAGGTTACTTGCAGTGAATGTTAATCCAAAATCTCAATTCATCCTAATGATGTTAGGACATTGGCATGGCATGACTTTGGTTAGTGATTCAGCGAGCAAACAAATATAGCTAAAGTCACTTAGTGACTTGTTTCTAATTCAAGTCACATAGATATTGATCTGGAATGGATCTGATCTTGATTTGTCTAGTTTGTGTGAAAATCACACGTCACTTCATTTTGTTCTTGTGTCTGTCTATGCAAATTTACTTATAGTCTGCAGTTTGTTTCTTTCCTGGGGTCAAAACTCCAAGTTTGGCTCTGTCCAGGCATCTCTTAGTAAAGCCACAGATAAAGCTGAGAACTCTAAAAGTGTTAATAGTTTGCATATCTTTTTGGGCCACTTGGTATGTTCTAGACTGTTTGTCAGATAGCCTGAAAATAGAGGCTGGCAAAGCAGGCCTGGTCTCTGTTCTTACAGAATCTGTCGTCACACTTGAAGGTTGTCTTGTAGAATAGCATTAAGGAAATCTGTGGTCAGAAATAAGGACATGTTTAGACACAGGCCAAACTGGCTAAGTTTCTGAATAGATCTATACTTACAAAGTGCTTAAAATAATAATGATACTTAGCAACTAGTTGATAACAGTTACATGCTAATATCATTATTATTTTTATTATTTATTTTTCCAGGTCACCCAAATAATTCTCTGGCCATAGACAGAGCATAATACACATAAATATATAAGATGAAATGAGATTTGGTTCTTTGACATGAAATCAGACCAATTTTGTACTGCAAATTTAAAAGAGCCCAAATTTGTCCTATGATGTGGAGACTAGGAATCATTTCTTTTATTTTTACATCCAAGTTTTCATGGTTTTAATTGGCACCCTACCAAACTGATAGATGCCTCTAGTTGTGTGTGTCAGTGTGGTTACTGACAACATTACACATGCAGTAATTACAGGGGACCATTTTTGCATGATTCTCTTCCTAGAGCATTTGCTATGCTGGAAATGCTATGAAAAGCTTAGACTATAGTACAAATACTATTTTTAAAAACAAACTTTTATTATATATTCTTAAAATAAAGTAATATATGTTTGTCATAGAAAAAACAAGCAGAAAAAAGCAGGGATAATCACTCAAATCCGACACGCAAAGAGAACTGCTATTATAGTTTATGCATATTTCTTTGCAGTTCTTTCTCTGTACATAGAAATACATTTTAAAATGGCATCGCAGTGTAATATCCCATTTTGTAATGGCTTGCTATGTCTTTATCCCATGTCATTAAATACCTTGCCATTGTCATTATTCTTTTACAATATTATTTGCTTTGGCTATGACATCTTTAACCATTTAATTTTTATTTTTTAACTTTTACCTTTTCTTCTTTTCTATTATAAATTATTCACTGGGTGAACAACTGAGTTACCATTGTTGAGGGTTTTTTAAATGTTAAAATAGCTAAATTGTATAAAATGTGCCTTGGTGCTGAAGTGAAGTAAAGTATCAGGCAAGATGAGATGATTGCATATGAATTCTCATATGCTTCTATAGCCTTCTCTATGAATGGTCCCAGAGGCCCCTGGCCCAGACTAACAACTTTCAGGAAGCACTGGGAAAGTAGTGTTCCATAATTAGAGAAGATCAGTAGCCCTCAAATGGGCTGTGATTTAGGAGAGTAAGTTAAAATCAACTATATGCTGATATCAGGGGACCTTCTGTTCCTTGTCTGTTTCTATGACAGATTCAAACCAGTTCAAAATAACTTTTCCAATCGCAGGTAGATTTCTTTTTTTAATTCTTTTAAGTTTGATATCTTAGGTTGCGTAAGCTGTGTTCCGTGATTTAAGTGTGCTTATCCATTCATCCTTCCTGCCAGGAATGCCATCTCCAACCACACTGAAGAAGTCGGAGAAGTCTGGTTTCAGCAGCCCCTCCCCTTCACAGACCTCCTCCCTGGGAACGGCATTCACACAGCATCACCGACCCGTCATCACAGGACCCAGAGGTGAGCTGCTCCGCTGGCACCCTTGGTTGTGCTTGGTTCATGACCTTGGAACGAGAGTAGTAAAATGAGAGATTACAAGGACTCCCCCAGAGAGGTCCTGAAGGAAGTGAGTGTTCCAGTTTCTTATCCTTGGGGACTGCGTTGGAATTGTAGGGACCCAAGAGATTTGGTATCGAACCCTGATCCTTACCTCTTTCTTTGCTGGTGGGATGTTGCGAAGAGGTGCAAGGTAATTTGAATTAACCAAAATAAAATCTGTCTTAAGGGCTTCCCTGGTGGCTCAGAAGGTAAAGAATCTGCCTGCTATGTGGGAGACCTGGGTTCGATCCCTGAGTTGGGAAGATCCTCTGGAGAAGGGAGTGGGTATACACTCCAGTATTCTTGCCTGGAGAATTCCATGGACAGAGGAGCCTTGTGGGCACAGTCCATGGGGTCACAAAGAGTTGGACACTAATGAGCGACTAACACTTCCTTATCTTAGAAATTATATGAGAGGGGCACTTGTGTGTGTGTGTGTGTGTGCGTGTGTGTGTGTTAGGTGAGTTTATTTTTGTGTAATAGCTTATTTTCGTTCTCTCACCCCTGCTGATTCCCCTTTCTTGAAACCTGATTTCAATATGTGACATTTTGCGTTGAGGTTGCTTGCATCACCGTGTTGACGAGCCGTCTTCATTCACTCCTTTTGAAGTGGTAGATAGTTTGTCTGGGTTTCATTGCAATGTTTTCATTATTTTTGTCTCGTGTGCTTTTAAGTTTATTATTAAAATGTGTCCACAAGAAATATGATTTGTATTTCACATTAAAGACAAGCTTTAAACCTCAAGAGAATGTCAGCAAATCACTTAACTTGATCTTGTTGCAAGATGAAAATATTTATTAGTTTGTTTATGAAACTCCCACAGTAGGAGTATGAATAATTGTAACCATGTTTGCTTTCTTCCATCAGATTTTTGTTTAGGTAAGTTTGTGATCTACCAGCTGCTATCATAAAACATCCTAGAAAGTTATGGTCTCTTGTCTACTTTGACATATGCCTGGAGAAACTGGTATTTCTTGCATTAATCTCAATGTGAGTCCCACAAGTCTGAATCCCTTTATGAATACTCTGTGTGCATCTCAGGGAAATAAAGCAGTTTAGAGGGCTGGCCAATGTACATGTATAGAAATCACCTTGAAGAAAATAAGTATTTTGACTATTATATGAAACGGTGTCTTTATCCACAATTATGAAAGCTCACTTGCCCCGTCTTTAAAGATCTTGTGATCATTGATGGAACTTTCTTAAGTGTCCTAATTATTTCACTTGTGTGTAAGAGTGAAAAATATGTGCATTTCCCCCCTTAATTTGAAAACCTTGCATGTGAATGGGATTATGTGCTCCCAGAATGAATCTCTTTGAATGGGGCAGTGTGTTGATATTATTCTCGTTGTCAGCATTCCTTAGGCATTGAAACTGTGGTGGGAAGTAAGAGATATGAAGATTTAGTCAGAAGATTATTGATCTTAGGGAGATAAGGCATGTATGATTCTCATCTTTTTTATGATCAGACTGACATGTTCTAAATGCTACATGGATCTTAAAAGCAGAGGTTTCTGTAGGACCTCAGAAGAGGGAACTATGGAGGTTCCTTCATCCATTAATCAAGGATTTACTGAATGCTTGTCACTGGGCAGACACTGGGAATTCAGTGGTTCCTGTCCTCATAGAGCATATTGTCCAGTGCAGAAAAATAAACATTTAGAATATGTTGTGGAATTCATAGTTACTTTTCACTTTATATCACCTAAAGAACCTTCAAAGGGTAGATATTGTCAAAGTCAAATCTTAAAAGTCACTTAGATGAATGGAGGGCATTCCGAGTGAAGAAAAGACTCCTTGTACACCAGGGTAGTAAGGATTAGGAAGCAGCAATGCCAGCAATCAGGGTAGTTTGTTAAGTTGCTTCTTTCCATGTCTACTTATCTTCTGAATTTTTTAATGTCCTCTCCAATAAAATAGGGATAGTAGTACTGATGAAGGAATTTTTTTTTCTCCCAACCTCACATTCTTACACAGAAACTAAAATAAAACAATATTTGTAGAGACTTTGAGGGTTATAAGGCAATGTGTGTATGTTATCATTTATTCAGTAAATACTGAATGCTTTCTATATGTCTTGCCTTAAAACTATATATCTAGAAATTATTCTAGCACTTACCCATAAGTGCCATTATTGGGAGCTTCTTCATGCTAAACAATTAATCACATTTGCTAAAATGATCCACACTGGGTTGAACCAGAGGGGACCTTCTTATTCTACAGAACTGTGAGTTTTGGTCTTCTATTCATACTCACGGGATTGTTTATAAGGAAAAGAGAAATATGCCCAATTTAAAAATTATGCAAGAATTATGGAATTCCAAAGAATGTTTTCACCAGACTTCAATATGGTTCACAGCATCCTCAGTTCTCCCTTCTGGGAAATCTACTCAGGAACCCATTCTTATTACATCCTGCCCAACTTAGCGATCTGGTGAAGGGAAGTGGGGTAGTTGGGATGAAATACTTCAGCAGCATCTTTGTGGTCAGCATGACAGAGGTGAGATAGGTTAACATAAGACCCTGTTGGGCTAAGACCTTTTTAAAGGTTGATGTTTAGACATACTTGCTATAGGTATCATATTCCCTCTTATCCTTCTGTGAACTGGTTGGAAGGCTAATGCTTGGAATGACATCACATCTGGGACTAAGAGTTGATGTTTTAGGAAGATGAGGCTGGATTTAAAAAAGGAGAGTCTGGCAGAGGGAGCCAGTGTAGAATAAATGTGGTATATACATTAAGGAGAATTCAACCTCACATGTTCTTTTTATTGGAAGGAGAGGCTTGGCTTCCCTGGTGACTCAGATGGTAAAGAATCCATCTGCAGTGCAGGAGACCAAGGCTCAATCCCTGGGTCAGGCAGATCCTCTGGAGAAGGAAATGGCAAGCCCATTCCAGTATTCTTGCATGGAGAACCCCATGGACAGAGGAACCTGGCGGGCTACAGCCCATGGAGTCACAAAGAGACAGACACGACTGAGCGACTAACACTTTCACTTTCTCTTACTACTGAAATGGTAAATCATTAGAGAATCCAGACAGATGATCAGACTTCAAAAAGGCAAGGAAGAAGAGAAAGGTGTGTCCTTTATGAGGATCCTGGGGCACTGGAGAGGCTGTTAACTGCAGTCTTATTCAGAGTCACATGGTGTAGTCACCTCTGGATAGCACCTAGATTGTAAGATCTCTGCTGCCTTCCTTAAAATTTCTCATGGGATTCTCTTGACTAGACAAACACCAGTCAGTAGACAGTAGCTGTGTAATACACCCCAGTGCCCAGGCCAGAGGTAGTATGCTAACAGAGCTACAGGACAGCAAGTCCACCTCAAATTTCAATGAATTCACCAAATTCATTGAAAACAAGCAATGGTCCTATTTTTCACTGCAAAAATTAGCTATGTTTGGAAATTTGGTGGCCACCTTTTACACAGGAAACCTCTCTTTGATGATTGCAAAGCTGAGGCAGAAAAAATAGAGCCTTGAGGGGAGTGGGTAAGTGCAGAAGCTAGGATTGAAGGTCAGATGGACTGGTGTTTGAATCCCATTTCCACCACTTTTACCAGCTATGTGAACCTGGCACATAGCTTTGCTTCTCTGAGCCATGGGCTCCTCATCTATAAATTGAAGATCTAATCTCGACCTCAGAGAATTATATTATCTTAGGAGTAGATGAAATCATCTACTTACAGGCACGATCAGGTCATGCAAACAGTCAAGTCACCTATTTTCATTAGGGGTTTGAAAGTCTCATGCCGTCATGATGTCCTCCTGCCTTTGCCTGTCCACACGCTGCCCATCCCAAGACTCATTCAGGTACCACTTTCTACCTGAAACCTGCTCAGTTCCAACCAGGCTGCCATCATCTCACAATCTGCAGACTCTGAGAGCCTCTCATGGCACATTTTCACACTCCCTATACCAACTTGGTCTTACTTTGTCAGTTCATGTACATGTCTTTTTCTTTCTCTAGAACAAAACCTCTGTGAGGAAGGATCTCTAATAAACACTTTTTGATATCTTCATTGTTTCTCACACTGTGGGTTTTGTGCTCAGATTTTACTTGAATGAATAAAAAGTATGCAAGTTGTGCATAAAAGGTACAGAAGAGATATTCATCCCATTCCTGAAACTGACAGATTCTCACTGCTTCAGAAGGACTAAGGGTGACATATGACAATAGTTTATATGGCACTTCTTTATAAGGAATGTCCAAGATAAGGAAGAACCATGGCCTTTCATCCAAAGAAAGCTTTTGCAAGATTATGAAATACGGTTTATTAAAAGCTATGGTGTTTCTTAGTTGATGCTATTCTAATCTTCTAGTCTCAAATTGGAATCTAATTTTGCAATTTACCTTGTGAAGGTAGAGACATGTGGTTTCTTAAAATGAATCCCCTCTCTGATAGTGTCGTTGTTTATGGCTTTGATAAATCATTTAACTTTGTGACCTCAGTTTAGCCATCTGTATCATGGGGAATAATACTTTGCCACCTTGTGGCTCAGATGGTAAAGAATCTGCCTGCAATGTAGGAGGCTCAGGTTTGATCCCAGGTTGGTAATATTCCCTAAAAAAGGGAATGGCTGCCTACTCTAGGATTCTTGCCTAGAGAATTCTATGGACAGAGGAGCCTGGTGTATTAGTCCATAGTATCCCAAAGAGTCAGATACGACTGAGTAACTAACATTTATGTAGTTAAAATTAGGTGAAGAGGTTAAAGACTGTGGAATGTCCTACTGAATGAGGAAGACGTTAAGTTTCCGTAAGGGCGTTTGTTACATCATTATACGTTATTATAGTTACTGTGCACTTTAAACTGAAAGATTGGACTTTCAAAGACTTTCTTTTAGCAGTACTTAAAATTTCAACCATAATAAAGTGTTTGATCATGACAATTCATCTTCTTCATGATAATGAAGAAA